GCGTCGCGCGCAAGCCCCTTCGAAGAGCAAGTGCAAATTGTTTTGATCTTGTTTTTCTTTGTTTTCAGCCCTTCGAAGCGGCTTGAGCGCGACGCGACCGCGTCGACCGGTCCCGTCTGCCTCCTTCCCCCTCTCTAGCACTACATCGGCCGGCGGACTATGAAAGCAGTCATAGCGCCACTAACGGTGGAAGTGAAACAGTACTATTTACAATTCAGTAAAGTCATTGGCAAATGTATCAAGCTAGAAAGTTGTCCCTAGATGTCCATTGTCAACTGTGTGACAGTAGTGGAAGTCAGGGAGCCCATGTGGAAGTCAATCGCATGTTCATGATTATCGGAGTAGCAGGACTTACCGTTTCAACTATCGCTCCACTACTTTTTTGTCCACTTGAGTAACCTGTCCCTGTTACAGACTTTGCTGAATATTCTGGCAGTGGAACCAGCACATTCACACAATGGGACCTGGTCGAATGTCGAAGGAATGCTGGCAAGTGGATGGGAAGAGCGACCAAACAGTGATCGATTTAACGACGTTGCCCGAGTTTTCTGCTCATTCTCAGTGATCATGCTAGCGGTCAGGGTGTTATATTGAAGTGAATAGTGATTATATTTTCAAATCACGATGAGTAACATTCAAATGTGAATCATAGGTTTCTCTTTATAGCGTGGTATCACGTGGTATCACGAATATTTACAAAGTTCTGTGTGTCATAGCGATGACAATGCGCCTAGCGCAATTCATATGCCTTACAATTACTTCCGAGCGATTGATAGAAGGGTTGCCGTCGGTTTATACCTCCTCAGGTACATTCGCCATTTCAAGCGAATGCCACAGTTCCACTCAAGGTTGTAGAGAACAGCTCCCTATATAAAATGTTATGATGACAGGATAAAGGATTCCTGTATGAACTGAAAAAATCGGTGATTTTGCTGTTATACGAATTAATTTCTCAAAGGTGTTTCCGAACCAATTTGTGATGCGCCATGTCCTGTATTTCTACCAAAATTGAAATCAATCACTGCACAACCTCCCCTTTTAAGCAGGCCTGAACAGCCAGAAAAAATGATGTCAGGATTTTCCAACATCAAGTCATCATTAACCACTTCCCGTGATTTCAAATTGCTCTTGAAAGTAAACATTTAAGCAGTTGCCGGCCCGGTGAGCATACAAATATGTATGTGCTCATAATTACAACAAGTAATTATCACTGAATACCAATTTTCAATGATACATGTTGATCTTAAGCGATTTTTTAAGAAATTTCTCGGAAATCCATTTTGCCTCATTTGTCATATGTGTGTAAATTGTATAACGAAAAAAATGTGTCTTTCGCCTTGACCAGCATACCCGTTAGTCTACAGACTTTAAGCTTTTCATCATCATTTTGTTTTTTTTTCGCTGAATTAATAAACTTTATTGCTGAATGGAACTGATTCATATACAAGTACCATAATATCTACTTGAAATTTACATGTAATTTCATAGATACCAAAACATTTGAGTGGCTTTATGTGGGAACAATTGCTTTACTTTACTGGAATGTTAATGATAACTGGTATTTAGAAAATGTGAAGTCCAACATTGGAACAATAAATCAGGCTCCACTTAATGCCGTTAATATTTGTACGCGTATGTAGCCGTGTCACTTCCTTCCTTTCCGTGGCATTCTGAAAATCGATGGAATAAATTAAAGAAATAAGTGAAAAAGAAGAAGAAATTGAATAATCCGTGAACTGAGTAGTACTACCAATTTTGAGGTATCCTAGAGGGTCATATAAGCGAATTCATAAGCGCAGCGCTTTTCAGTGATCAGACCAGGCCTAGGTCATCTGGACACTATACTGGAAATACACCGTAGCGTTGAACGAGTAGCCAAGAAGGCAGATACTCATGGATTCGCGTGAAATAGCCATCTTTAGCACCTAAATAACATTTTCATTTTCGTTTTGTTCTATACAATTTTCTAGGACAGAGGTGGTGTAGTGGCAGTGACGCCATGACACATGCATGGTCAGGGGCTCGATTCCCCGATCGCTATCCGCCTAGGCCAACCAAGGTTTCCACACTTCGAGGTCGGTAAGTTGGTACCAGACTCATCTGGAAGGATAAAAGCACTGAATTGTATATCGGCTGGCCACCGCAAGTCATTGTATAGGCCACATACGCACTCAACGCCACTACGATTCTGAACGGAAGTCGAGTGCGGGGCGCATCCCTNTATCCTTTATAACTACTAGCAACTTGTCAGGCTTTGATGAAGGGTCTGGTTACTTCCTAGTAGTATGTAAGTATGTACTGAATCTTGTCATAGACTTTCAGGAGTTCAGGTGTGGAGAGCGGCTAACGTCCATTTTGTGGTAGTCGGCAGTTTTGGTAATGTACCAGAAATGTAAACAATGATAAATTATGTTACCTCGATGATTCGCTGGGTGGCCTCGTGAGATTCGAATCTTAAGAACATTTTGCATTCATCAGCTTCTATGTTCTCCGCGACAGACGAAACCAGTGCCCTAAAATGAGCCCCATAACTTTCTAAAAGAAAGTCATAACTGATGCACATACTTGAAAGAGTCTTCGTCATCAGCGTAACAGAGCAGAATGCGGTTCTTACAGACTAGAGCATACCCGCATACCTGACCACCCCGTAAAGCCATTTTTCCGACAACCTGCAATACAATAATATATTATAATTTTAATTTACTTGTCAACTATTGTTATAAAAAAGCGTAGTATTCTCACAATAAAAAGGCTTACCCCTGGAGTGTGAACGAGGGCTGTTACATGTTCTGTACGATCATATATCGATGCTTCCGCATCATAGTCAAGTATTGGCAGAAGATTTTCTTTTTCGATAGGTTCTGTTGTCACCCCCATTGCCTCGTCGGCGAATGAAAGTAGGAACGATCTAAATGATTACGAAGTTTTTGAAAAATGNACAATTGTTACGCTTAGAAGTGAAGGGCCACTTCTTCCTCTATCGGTCGTCCTGGGTAAGGTCGAAAATTTGGGGTGCTGGTCCTACTGAGAAGGCACCAATCTGCCTACTGGGAAGCCGGTCTCAAAACTCCTACGTGCGAATACTAACAGTGCCTGCTCGTGGAATCAGGGTCCAAAATTGGAATTTCTGAAAGGTTTCCAATCCTGGGTTCCATTCAAAAACCCAGAGGCTCCAGATATATACCTGGCTCATGCCAATACGAGTTCCTGAATCCCCGCGCTGAATCCCCCGGGAGGCAACGTACAAGAGGGACTTTGAAGCTCGTTTTTATCCAAAAATTAAGCATATGGTTGTGGTGCCCTTTGGTTCTGCTCCCAAGGCCCATAAACTACTTTACAATACGGTTTCAATTGCAATCTCATAGGACCCACAGCCCTAGAAGTAAAGTGGACGAAGACTATCTCACAATCCTACTTTCAGCAATCTTCAAGGTGAATTCTCTACCGCATGCCCAATTTTTCACTGATTTTTCACCTTTTCACTTGAACTTCTTCAAAGCGATGCTTGTCAGACACGACGAATCCGGAAATGTCTCGCCACTGTTCGACGATCTCTTCCTTCCTTTTCCTGAAATTTAACCAAGTATTTTGAAGTGATCGATTAGCTAGGGGCGATGATTGATTAGCTGGAAGTAAAACAAAATTCACAAATCAAGGTGAATGTTGGTGTTTCAAAAGTTCAAAACTCGTAAAAAGAGCGGCCACTTACTCGTTATTGATGAGCAGATCGATGGTGATATTTTTGTTGAGATCCAGGTTAGTTTTTCCAACAGTACCTTCGACAAGAGCATCAAACAGATGAAGGATCGTAGGCCTTAATAGAAGGGGATCATAAAAATAATGTAATGCTTATTACAATCATCATGACTGATTTCATTAGCACAGTATGTAGATGGCCTGATATCTTCAGCTCTCAGGTATGCCGCAGACTTTGAGGGATACTATTTCACCTCGTTTAACTCTTTTCTACTTCTTACTTGTCACCCCCTTTTCCTTTTTTCTTTTATATCTTCTTAATTTAGAAATGCACGTCGGCAGGCCCAAGCGATTCATCTTTTTCAGAGCCTGCTCTCTGTTCTTCGCTTCAAAGTCAAGGAGTATGGGCGACTGGTTTGGGTTACTGTACGCCATAGGTAATACCGGATGCGTTCCCCTGTTAGGAAATGTGTTTGGTAGTTGGGTTGTTCCGGAATAGCGAGGACGCTAATGCTCGTAGCAAGTTAGAACAGTAGGGCAAAAAAATGTCTAGTAGCTCTGTGAAAGGATCAGTAATAGTTATGCTGCCTGAATTTACTGTGAAAAAAACTTCTTTCAGCAGTTTATAGGGTATGTTATGTTTAGCTTTAAGGCGGAAACTCACATCCCTTGGGCGGAGCGATCGCGATGACTCCCATCTGAGGGTCCCGATATTGGTAAGCAAAGGGAGTGAGCACCCTATTTGTTTATTTATCATTTATAGGAACAGGCAAAACGGAATCTGAACTACTTTTTTGTTGTAGGCCCCAAACATCTCTGATGCACTCTGTTCGAAGACCTTTGATCAACTAAGTAATTCTATTCAGCGAATTGATCAGGATGGTTTCTTTCGAGAAGGATCATCGCGTGTAGTTCAAGAAAGTAAGTTTTTACCTGCCCTCATGGTCAGCGAATACCGTCTCAAATAACGTGGGAGCGGTGCGGTCGATGATGTATGGAACACTCTTGGTAATCTGAAAAGAGATTTCTAAAAGAATCATACCGAATTGTCTAACTCTTCTGAGTTTACCAGTACTAGGTGTATTCTGTAAAATATAGGTAAACGGTCCAACCGTATAAACCCGTGACTCCTTCTTGGAGTTTGGTCCTTCTTCAATCCAGATTGTATGGTTTCTGAAGGCATCATCTACTTCTCCAAGAACGCAGTATGCCTGAATTCACAATCGTTACTGAACACGGAAAACCGGTAATTTACTCCAAAAAACCTATAAGAACCACTACTCGGAACTGGGATACTGTATGCCCTGATGAGTAGGCACGTGATTAACTAAAAGGAAAATTTTTCTTTTTCCCGATTTTGACATCAGGATCATCAAGTCCTGGAAATTTGATAAGGGGAGCCAAGGTACTGTACCCTGATGAACTTCGGCTCGTAAAAGGACCAAGTAGAAATTTCAGCTGAATGACCCTCCCTAAGATCCCAACTTCGCCCTTTCTGCACGTTAACTCCCTGGATAGTGCTACCAGTACATACTAGAGGATTGTGAGTGTTGGTAGTGGATTCTGTTGAGCAGCTGCTAGGCCAGAGTGTTACGGTGTTCCAGCGTCTCATTTTGTCGGTACGGCATGGCATGGGTTCAACGTCCCTGGGTAGTTTTTCAGGTGCAACCATCCCCATCAAGGTCAGCTAGGGCACTGCTGAAAAAAATGTACCTGCTTGAGTGAGTAAGGTGAGATAGCGCCACATGCGACGACACGTTCGTTCTCATCTAAGATAGTGACCGTAACGGCTGTCGTTTCACGGATGAACGCCTCATTGTTGTTGACAGGAAGGAGTCCACCGCCAAGTACATAGTTCGCAAGACTCTTTTCGGCAAGTGAAACAAGTGATGGAGCGGTGTTCATCCTGAAATTTTATTGAAAATACTTCTTAGTAGTCACGGCCATGACGTCACTACTACGACTACGTAATAAAAGCTCAAAAAGGGGATTAGGCGGATATCGTCTTGAAATCTGTTGGAAACGACAATCTACCATACCGGTAAACAGGTTGATTATAGGATTCCTAGTTCGAGTAACTAGTAAGAGCTACAAGCGCTATAACGAATAGGTACCGTACAGACATTCGAGTGAATGTTCGAAAGCGATCGAGAGATGATGAGGACTACTCAGGACCAGGTCGATATCGATGTGGAAGGCCAAGATATCTTCACTTTNTTAAACAAAGTAACTAGGGTTCTTCAAAGTTATCTACAATGTCTAAATAGCCCTTCTCGCTCTCTTCCACCCTTCCCTTAACTTGCGTAAGCGACAAAAAAAAAATCATAAAAAATTCATCGAAAATGAAGCAGGAGGTTTCCTTCATCAGAATCCAGACTTGAATCTTTTTATCCCTCCGTTCTCGTGTGGGCTCAAGGTGAAAGTAATCAATCTGTAGAAACAAATTCGCCAAGCTTATTCATCATTATGATACCGTGATTTATTGAAATACTTTTTATGCAAATAATAAAATTAGCTGATACATTTTGGTTCTAACTGCCAAGTGAGAGAGGGATATTTGAAGATAAGAGGACGGACGGCAGCCAATGTACTGAAGACATCACCGCTAGTGGTTGCAGAAGCGAAGCGAAATGGGTAACCCTCCTCATTGGTATGGCTACAGCACCAGATAACAGAGGAGGAAGGAACGCAGCGAGCAGGAGGTCCTTCAAAAAAAGTTGTCATAGGGAGGTAGGGGCCTAAAAAAACGGTCTAAGCCCACAACGCTCCATATTATAAGGTAGGTAACTAGTATGTCGTATTTTCCTGATTATCTAACATTTATCTCCAAGGACAGCAATTTTCCCTTTTTTTNTTTTTTTTCAAGTGATTTATGTTTATAGGCCAGGCACATGAGGCGAAGGCAATGGTGAACACAAAGCTGAATGAAATTGCCTTTTTTTCTGTGAAAGCGAGCAGCTATACTTGAATATACTGAATATTAAATAAATAGTAATGAACGATAGTAATAAATAATAGTAATATAATAAAAATTGCTGCTGAAATATACGGTCCTGAGATGGTGAAAAGTGGAGACGTGTACGGCTGATCACTTCAGTAGTTTAGAGTGATCTGTGGTCGGCCAGATTTAGCGATCGAGGTTGAGGCTAATGGCCGGTAGTCCCAGGGATTTAAAAACGGCTTACGGTGCGTTCCGAATGCAATCGCCGTTTTGAATTCGAACCAGAAGATCAATGGACCAAGTGGGGAGAGCCTGTAATCCTTGTTTATTCGTGAAGCTCAACCGTGACGTTCCATTGGAGACTGACCCAATACCAATGTGTCAAGGTGAATCTTTATCGTTTGTAAAAATTCCTAGATAGGCGGGAAATTCTCCTTCGACCTTGAAAAAGGGAAACACCCTCCACATTTCGGTACGCTTACGCATCATAAGCCTTGAATGGACCTTAGGTCCCAGAGTGCTTACCTTCTTAAAGGCACACTTCACGATAATCTTGAGGTATGTTTTTATTCAAAAAGCGGAAATATAGGTTGGGAATATTCATCGATAATGAAGAAAGAGGGAAATCGATGATTTCGAGAAAAATATGGCTTCTAAAAATAGGAGAAATAGAAGTTGGACGAGATTGCCATGACGGAAATAACATGGAAAGGGTATTCGGACGAGATTTCAGTTATTGCAATTGCGCAAAGAGCTGACTACATCAAGCCAAAACTGTACAGAGCTTCTTTCACTGTCGCTATGGGTCATGACAAGTTAATTGAACTTCCTACACAGATCCCCTTGTGATCGGTGCAGCCTCTATAATGCGACATTGAGATAGGAATAGAAAACGGTTCACTCAGGTGGACCCGTAGGGTATGGAGGCAGGAGCCCCTTGCTGATACAACATGTCAAATGCCTCTTGACAAGGTTTTTCCTCGCAATAAAAGGGAAGGAAATCATGGCTTGGTAGCGAGAGCCTGATTTTAAGTTGAAGAACCTGTTGGTGTTTGATGGCATGACCCACATAAGAGATTATCGCGAAAATCAGGTATGATTGCTCAAGAAAGTTAAAGTTCACTGCAGGGTGAAGAGGCGGGCTTTCAAGAGGTAAAGAATGGGCAACTCGTTCTGGACGAGATCCGGACGAATCACTGTGTTCTCACATAGGTTAGCTCCAACATCTCTGAATAGACTCGGAAAAAATTCAGTGTTTAGCAGAGCAATCGTTTTCGGATCTCCTGCAGGCTGCATGAAGATTAGGGGCACAACTCATAACAGGTCATTCGAATAAAATGGATAAGACCTGTATCAATAAGTATTAATATATATCATTGTCTACCAGCGAATATCACCTGTCACAATCGCTCCTATTTCCGTTCAAGAGAAAGTAGGCAGGTTTGAGATCGGTGATATTTGGTGATAAACAATGATATGTAGTGATACAGCTCGCTACGAAAAGATACTTAGGCGTTATTCGTTGTTTTTAACTGCTGAATTCGAATGAATCGTAGTGAAAGTAAAAGCGATCATCAGTAACAACGACAAACCGATCCACCCGAACCGGCAGGAGGGGGCGCCTGGATAACAGGCTATCGAGGGTATGGTGNTGTGCAGATCAACCACTTGCAAGGACTACAGTATCTTACAGAGCTGTTACACATGGAGCTATAACGACCAGAGAGCTCGGTTTAACTGGCTTATTGTTATTTTTGTACCTCACGTAAACAAACTGTTCAATGCTCGCGAAACCTTGCTGTCATTGTCTGACGTGAGACGGTGAAATTAATGAGACGAATAAGATCTTCGAGAGGGCAGCGTCGTGAGTTTTTTCCATGGTTGTTGATTCATGGCAAGGGAAAGACGTTCGTGGAACTCCTCTAATCTGATTTGAGCCTCACGTTCAAACTTGTCTAAACAGTCATCGGGTAACCGTTGAGAAGTCGGTAAAAAGGGCCTCTACACAACCTGTAACCTGATCGTGATAATGATCTGGAAAAGCTTTTTTATAGGAAATGGGAGTGGTATTGAAAGGTTACCCCCTCCTTTTTTGATCACATTTTTCGTCTACGTCGACATTCCTCCCCGTTTCGAACAGGGGAGCGGTTCATTGACAAAGCGCCACGTTACCAGGCGGCGAACCTGCAGATTTTTCTTGGTAAGAGGTGATAACAGCTGGATGAAATGTTGAAAATCACCAAGAGGTAAAATCAAAGTTAAAGCTCCTGGTGAAGAAGTACGATGCAAATAAGAGTGAATGAGAATGAAGTGACACTAAGGACAACACCCTTACAGAGTGGGCCACTAAAGAGTCCAGAATTGGGCCAACGATGGAAGCGTCATCAGATAGTCATCGCCCCAGACTCACGCACAATCTCTCGACGCGAATCTTGTCGCTACGCCAAATACTTCTACACCTTCGGAAAAATAGAGTCTAGATCTAAGACAACGACGATAAACAGGGCACGCGTAAACGGAGGTGTTCACGGGCTGGTAATACCCTGATGAACCTTCCTTAGCCGTTTTGTCCAGCAACGGCAAAAAGACTCCTCCTCCTCCCTCACCCCGCCTTCCATCCACCTACCTGTTCCCATAAAAGTTGAGCGGGACCTTCAGTTGCATGGAACGAATATGGTCATCAAGAA